AAAATATGTAAACAATAATAGAGAAGTGATGGAATAAATTGTGGCAAATATAGAAATTAGAAATGTTTATAAGTTGTTTGTAATGAATTGAGAAAATATTTAAGTTGGAAAACAGGATCAAATATATATTGTTTGAGTACAGCTGCATAAAAGATAGATGGAGAAATGCATAGAGGGAAACACGAACAAAAATACAGTCAGTGGTAGGTTGGGGATGTAAGATTATTATTAATTTTTTTCCCTCATATTTTCTGATTTTCCAAATGTTCTAGAATAGTCTTTGTTATAGGCTGAATTGTGTCCCTGCCTGACCCCCCACCCCCCAATTCACATGCTGAAGTCCTAACCCCCAGTACTTCAGAAGGTACCTATTTGGAGATAAGATCTTTCAAGAGGTAATTAATTTAAAATTATCTCATTACTTAATCCAACATGAGTGGTGTCTTTATAAGAAGAGGAGATTGGAACACAGATACACAGAAAGGCAAGGACAAGTGAAGACACAGGGAGAGGAGAGCCATCGGCAAGCCAGAGAGAGAGGCCTCAGAAGAAACCAACCCTGCTGACACCTGGATCTCAGCATTCTAGCCTCCAGATCTAGGAGAAAGTAAATTTCTCTTAAGCCACCTAGTCTGTGGTACTTTGTTATGGCAGCCCTACCAAACTAATACAATTATCGTTTACTTTTCAATGAAAAAGAAAAGATTTGTTATACAGAGAAAAAGAACGTAATCCCCAATTAAAGGGAACCCCTCCTTTCATGAGTTACACTGAAGCACTATGGGAACCCATAACCCTCATGTAGCCCCACTACTAGCTCTAGATTAGAATTATATATCTTGTATGCTCTTTATATATTATACACTGAATCATTGATTATAATTGAAAAGTGCTTCCTTGAGGCAACTGAGTTCTTCATCCTTGGAAATGTTCTAACTGTGTGTATCCACTTTATAGAGAGAGCATAACTAGACCTGAAGCATCTGTTGGTTGAATGAAACTGCAAATTTTTCAGATTCCTTCCAACCCTAAGATTCATTAATAACCATGGGTAGAGTTGCTAGTTTCTACAGTGTAAAATAAATTCCCCCAAGTAGTCTGGTTTTGCCGAATTTCTGACTCAAGCTAGGATGCTTTTATTCTGGTTTTATTCAATTCTAGGAAAAATTATTTCAAACTCTAGGGCCTCCTGATTTGTTACATTACCCAGACTTCAAATGTCATCTTTATTTTCCCAAAACCTTAAAGTAGGCTAAATGCAAAGTTGTTTAAATAAGAACAAAACAAACAAAGACACCTACCATTTTAAGCAATTGTGTACCCATGTAAAATGAGGAACTATACTGACTTACTTGCAAATGAAAAAAATGTGAAAGTCATTTCTAAAGTTAATATCAACTCTGCTGACCATTATTTTTTAAAGAATAACATATTTTATCTACAATATAGTCTTATTTTTAAAAAATGTTTAAACTTACATTTTGATAGAAACCATACACTTGAGAAATTTTAAAAGCATGATATTTTCTTATCCACTTTGCAATCCAGAATTAGCATTTTTCATTGTCAACAGAAGGAAACGTTGTTCCAACAGCTGGGCACAAGACCCTGGTGTTTCCATTGAACTACAGAGGGGGATACAGCACGTGCTACCGAGACGACTACTGTCTCCTTATGGAAACATCCTGCTTACCAGAGCACATGGCCAGCTCTCCTGAATGGGAATTATTCATAACGCCAATATAAAGCACACTTCTCTATTTTCCTCCAGTGTCTTAGACTGTTATCAACGTAATCCCGCTCTACTGGTATTCTCTGAAACGCTCCACACGGTGTTTCCTGCTTAATAGGCATTTCATTCCTCAGGAAATATCCTCAAGTATTTACTTATTTTAATAGATCCAAAGTTCTAAGTATCAACCCCACATTATTAGATCATGATGATGACGCGACAGAAATGTTCAGCTTACTTTTCCAGCAGTGCCCATCCTGTCTTTCTCTTGGTTCTGTATTTCTGTAACCAGGAACCTTTTCTGACTGCTACTCAGTTCCTTCTGCTGTAAATAACAGCATGGTATGCCTTCACATAAATATTCTGCCTCAAAAGTTCTGCCTTCAGCAGCATGACTCACAGCCTTCACAACTTTTCAATGGTCTGCAAGCCCCACCCTGGCAGACAAAAGCTGTGAAAATAAATACAGCAACTATTATGATCAAACCAAGAGTAGGGATCTAACATAGACAGGATACTAAAACCTACTGAAAAGGGCTGAAAGTATTCCTATCCACCTTATTTTGGAGGATATAAAAACAGGTTAGGTTAATTCAGTTCAGTACAATTAATAAAAAAATGTTTTGTATGTTTTTGAAGTGCAAGCTGCTTTTCCATGGACAGCTGATTTAAGAGAGGTGTGTGTACTTTTGTACTTATACTCTATTTATTGTACAAAGACTTGATGTAGTTCATGGAAAATATACGATTAAATATAAATGACAAAAGGGCCAGAGAAATGTAAAAAAATTGGAAAGAAGGTCAAGGTTTGGCAAGAAGAGTTGGGAGTATATAAAATATAAATACGGATGACTGTGGTTTCTAGGTATTTCAAGGATAAAAAGTTAAGTAAAACTCGTTGTGCCTGCACATAGAGAAATTATCATCTGACCCCAAATCACATTATCCACAGAGTTGTCTCATATGGTTGTATAGTTTGTACACAGCACAAATGTGCCTAGTGCAGGGGCTGAAGGGGAATTGCAATCCAGCCTACATATTGGCTCTCAAATTCCAAAGGGTTTTCACTTACTTGGGTAAGTGCTTAGCTTTTCTGCAATAGCTGTTTAATCATTACAGATAGTAATTTCTTAATATAATGACGCCAGAGTTTTGGGCTTATAAGTACCATTGTTTCAGCAGTAAATGCTGAAAAAACACAGTGTGTTTTGTTAGCATTATCAGACAAAGGTAAGCAGGTATGGACAAGGACAGGCATTCTGAATCTCAGTTTCCAAGCCAAAGAAACCAAACTTTATCTTAGCAACAAAAACTTATTTACTTATGAACAAAGGCAAAAGAGTACCACATGAATGGTGCCAGCACAAATGCCAAAAGACTCAGTTGATAATCTCTCTCTTAAGGGATTGGCAAAACTTTATAGCATATTAATCTAAGAAACAAAATTTTACAAAAAAAAGTGTATCAAGTGAGGTTTAATATTGGCATAAGGCTTAATGGTTCTAATCCATTCTCCATTGGAACTGATTAGATGATAAAATTCAAAAGCTGAAACTTGGAAGGTAAACAAAATTGAGCTAAAAGTCATGGTCATGTTGGATATATAGGAGGTAAGTCGTAAATTTAGGTTTAGAGAATTTACCAGAGGAATCTTTGCATAGGAATGTTTGCATAGGGTTTACAAGAAAGATCATGAAATTCTATGAACTTCTGGAGCCACAATTCTTGGGGTACTCAATCTCCTAATTACTTTGACCCTTCATAGTTTATAAGAGCCTTTTTGCATTCCAAAAGTTTCCAAGAGCCTTTAATGCTTATCTCAAAGTACCCATGCATCTCTAACTTGCTCAGATCGGGATACAGGGGAACTTAGAAGAAGTTTGAGAAGTGTGCTACAGGAATCTGGACTTGGGAACCAGATTCACTTGGCTCAGGGCCTGGAGACTTGTTTGAATATGCATGACCTCAGCTTCCACATTCATAAAATGGGACTAATAATAACCACATTGCATGGGTGTCTTGAGGATTAGTGGTGAGAGTCATAAAGCACTTAGTACACTGCTTGGTTCATAATCAGTAGCAAATGTCATTTTTATTAACTTGACTCTAATTGGTTGCTGGATTATTATTGTTATTATTATTATGGATTTGTTGCTTGAATTTTTAAAATATTTAAGATGTCACCACTTGAAACAAAATGTTCTGAAGTCCAGGCTCAGTAAAAACTGTCTTGCAAAAGACAAAACTGTAAAAAGAGAAAAAAAAGGGTCATTATATAATGATAAAGAGGTCAGTTAAGCAAGAGAATATAACAATTCTAAATATACATGTGTGCAACAATGTAGCATCCGCATATATAACACAAATATTATCAGAGCTAAAGAGAGAGATAGACCCTAATACAATAATCATTAGAGACCACCACACTCCACTTTCAGCATTGGGCAGTCAGAAAATCAACAAAGAAACATTGGACTTAACCTACACTGGAGACCAAATGGACCTAATAGACATTTACAGAATGTTTCATCCAACAGCTGCAGAATACATGTTCTTCTCTTCAGGTCACGGATCATTTTTAAAAATAGACCATATGTTAGGCCACAAAACAAGTCTTAAAAAATTCAAAAAAATTGAAGTCATACCAAGTATTTTCTCTGACCACAATGGAACAAAACTAGAAATTAATAACAGGAGGAACATTGGAAACTATACAAACACACGGAAATTAAACAATATGCTCCTGAATGACCACTGGGTCAATGAAGGAATTAAGAAGGAAATTTAAAAACTTCTCAAAAAAAATGAAAATGAAAACACAACATAGCAAAACCTGTGAGATACAGAAAAGGCAATAAAAAGAGGAAAGTTTGTAGCAATAAATGCCTACATCAAAATAGTATAAAATCTTCAAATAAACAACCTAATGACACATCTCAAAGAACTGGAAAAACAAGAGCAAATCAAGCCCAAAAGTAGTAGAAGAAAAGAAATAATAAAAATCAGAGCAGAAATAAATGAAATTGAAACAAAAAAATACAGAAGATCAACAAAATAAAAAGTTGGTTTTTTGAAATATAAACAAAATTGACACATCTTTGGCTAGGCTAAATAAGGAAGAAAGAGAGAAGACCCAAATAAATAAAATCAGAGATGAAAAAGGAGACATCACAACTAACACTGCAGGAATCCAAAGGATCATTAGAGACTACTAAGAGAAACTATATGCCAATAAGTGGAAAACCTAGAAAAAAATGGTTAAATTCTTAGACACATACAACCTACCAAGATTGAACCAGAAAGAAATCTAAAACTTGAATAAACCAATAACAATAATGAGGTAGAAGCAGTAATAAAGTCTCCCATCAAAGAAAAGCCCAGGACTCAATGTCTTCACTGCTGAATTCTACCAAGTAGTCAAAGAAGAATTAATACCAATCCAACTTAAACTACTCCAAAAAATTGAGGAGGAAGGAATACTCCCAAACTCATTCTATAAGGCCTGCATTACCTTGATACCAAAATCAGATAAAAACACAACAACAACAACAACAAAACTATAGGCCAATATCTCTGGTGAACATAGATGCAAAAATCCTCAACAAAATGCTAACAAGCTGAATTCAACAACACATTAAACAGATTATTCATTATGATGAAGCGGGATTCATCCCAGCGATGCAAGGGTGGTTCAACATATGCGAATCAATCGATGTGATTCATCACATCAACAGAATGAAGGACAAAAACTATATGATCATTTCAATTGATGCTGAAGAAGCATTCAATAAAATTCAACATCCCTTCATAATAAAAACTCCCAAAAAACTGCATCTAGAAGGAACTTACCTTAACATGATAAAAGCCATATATGACAGACTCTCAGTCAATATCATACTGAATGGGGAAAAACTGAAAGCCTTTCCTCTAAGATCTGGAACAAGAGAAAGATGCCCACTTTCACCACTGTTATTCAACGAAGTATTGGAAGTTCCAGCTAGAACAAACAAACAAGAGAAAGAAATAAAGGGCATCCAAACTGGAAAAGAAGAAGTCAAATTATCCTTGTTTGCAGATGACATAATCTTATATCTAGAGAGACCTAAAGATTTCACACAAAAAAACTATTAGAACTGATAAACAAATTCAGTAAATTTTCAGGATACAAAATCAATATACAAAAATCAGTAGCATTTCTATATGCCAACAGTAAATGATCTGAAAAAGAAACCAAAAATATAATCTCATTTACGATAGCTACAAATAAAATAAAATACGTAGGAATAAACTTAACCAAAGAATTGAAACCTTTCCATAATGAAAATTATAAACCATTTATAAAAGAAATTGAAGAGGACACAAAAAAAATAGAAAGATATTTCATGCTCATGGATTAGAAGAATCAATATTGTTAAAATGCCCATACTACCCGAAGCAATCTACAGATTCAGTGCAATCCCCATCAAAGTATGAATGATATTCTTCACAGAAATAAAAAAAAATAATCCTAAAATTTATATGGAGCCACAAAAGACTCAGAATAGCCAAAACCATCCTCAGCAAAAAGAACAAAATTAGAGGAATCACATTACCTGACTTCAAACTATACTAAGAGCTGTAGTAACCAAAACAGCATGATATTGGCATAAAACCAGATACATAGGCCAATGAAATAGAATAGAGAATACAGAAGTAAGTCTACCCATCTATAGTGAATTTAATATTTGACAAAGATGTCAAGAATGTACAGTGGGGAAAGGACAGTTTCTTTAGTAAACGGTGCTGGGAAAACTGGATATCCATATGCGGAAGAATGAAACTAGACCCTTATCTCTCACCATATACAAAAATCAAATCAAAATGGATTAAAGACTTAAATCTAAGACCTGAAACTATGAAGTTACTAAAAGAAAATCTTGGGGAAATGCTTCAGGAAGTTGGTCTGGGCAAGGACTTTTTTTAGTAATACTCCAAAGCAAAATTGGACAAATGGGATCACATCAAGCTAAAAAACTTCAGCACAGCAAAGGAAACAATAAAAAAAGGGAAGAGACAACACATAGAATGAGAGAAAATATTTGCAAACTACCCATCTGATAAGGGACTAATCACTAGCATATATAGGAGTTCCAACAGCTCAATAGGAAAAAATCAAATAATCTGATTAAAAAGTGGGCAAAGGATCTGAATAGATATTTCTCAAAAGAAGACACACAAATGGCTAACAAATATATGAGAAAATGCTCAACGTCATTAGTCACTAGAGAAATGCAAATCAAAACCACAGTGAGATATCATCTCACCCCAGTTAAAATGGCTTTTATCAAAAAGACAGGCAATAACAAATTCTGGCAAGGATGTGGAGAAGGGGGAACCCTCATACATTGTTGGTGGGAATGTAAGTTGGTGCAACCACTATGGAGAATAGTATAGCAGTTCCTCAAGAAACTTAAAATAGAACTACCATATGACTCAGCAATCCCACTGCTGGGTATATAAGCAAAGGAGGCAAAATCCATATATTGAAAAGATA